AAACTCCCGAGTCAGCAACTTCTATTGATTAAAAACTAACCTTTAAAGTAACTCTCGGAGTGTGTGGTTAGCATTTAAATTTAAACATGTCATGAATTGATTTGTGTTACTGAATACCAACTCTGAAGGAGTTACATTCACATCAGGGTTTTTCTCCTCCTCTTCTTCCTCCTCCTCCTCCTCCTCTTCCCCCAATTCCCTGAAGCAGCTAAGTATTTCATGAAGTGTCAGTGGGGCAAAAGAGAGGGAGAAAGGTGTTTATGGGGAATCGGTTGGATTGACATGAGCCTTCTAAGTTTTCTTTCCCATGCAAATAGTCAACTCCTCCCCCCAAACCCTCCCCCCCAGCCAAAGAAAAGTGTGGGGAGTGCAACACAATAATTAGCCCTTTGTCTAACTTTCCCAAGTGCCAGAGAGAGGCCGATTAATTAAATATACAACAGCATTGGGTTTTGGAGTGGGGGTCTTGCTTTCTGGGTAGGTCATAAATTAGGCTGAATAAATACTTCAATGTGTTTGCAGTGGGCCTGCTACGTCAGAGCCCCTGGAAGGTTGGTGGGAGGAGAGCCGTGTGTTTCTTGCTAATGATAGTCACGTCTGGGTCTGTCTGGTTGCTCCTAGCAACCAGACATGATGTAACACCAGGATGAACTTGAACTTGGGGACTTGAAAAGGGAACAATAGACCAGAGCAATCAATAAAGCCTATTTCAGTGAAGGATTACAGAGCTGCTCTGGAGTAACCTTGTCTGCAAGGCACACACTGAATAGTAAGATGGGCAAAGAAAGTTTTACCTTCTTTTTTTTTTTTTAAGGAGGGCAGAAGCACTGCAGAACTCTTTTTAAAAAAAGAAGAAGTTATGCAGTGAGTAGCAGAGGAGAAAAAAATGTGGCATGGAAAAGGCACCTCCTGCTGTCCAAAATGCGGATTGTGTGTCACTAAAAAAAAAAGGGGGGGGGCTGTGTATACAGGCTGCCTTCCGCAATAGTGTAAATTAAGTTTAAGTATTTTACCGCATGTTCCTAAGTGATCCCAGGCATATTGATGTCCAGATTCAGAATCAAATCACTGTAGTACTTTTCAGCAACTAAGTACTCAGACCAAATTTAAGTAGCCCTATCAATTATTTAAAGCTTCTAAAGTAAACATTATATTAGATCCATAATCAAGCCGGATGGCAGGGTTTAGCCTCTTGATAGGAAAGTTTGGAGTATAGTTTGCCTAACAGTTAGAAAGTTGTCCAACTTTTTGCATCTTGATTCTAAAATGGGGCGTTGATAAAAATGCCTGTTCTGCTGCATAAGGGAATTCTTGCAGGTGGCACAGACACATACCATGGAAACATTTAAGTATTGAAACAAACCTTTGGTTCATTTAGGAAAGACCCTTATTTGAAGTTGAAGGTAATTTAAATTAAATATATATTTAGTACCAAAGTATTTAAATGTAATACTTTCCTGATGACAACAGCATAAACCATAATTCACACAAAGCATATTTATGAAACTAGACATTTATTTACTCTGTTTTACTGAGTGAATTAATTTTCTCAAAATATGTTCACACTAATCTGGCAGGTAACATCTGCATCAAAATAACGAATACGGATTCCTTAATCACCCAAGGAAACTTTTGTGCAAAAAGTTCCAAAACAAATAGATTTCTATTCTATTCTCAGCCAATTTCAATCTAACTTATGAGGAATTCTGCGAAACAATAGCAGATGTAAATATATTAATTTGAAATGTCCAGAAAACTAGGTAGTAAAGTGAAAAAGTATACACATTGACACAGTTTCTCTTACAGTTAAATATTTTAAATAAAATAATACTTGTTTAACATATCTTCGTGACTTTCTGCCAACACTTAAACCGTGTAATATTTAAACCAGCCATCTTTTCCCATTTTTGTCGTGTAATATATTTAAATCTAAGTACTTGGTTATTAGGTGGACTCAGTAACAATTGAAAATCAGCTTTCATCTCTAGAGAGTATTGTCTCCTTCATAGGAAGCATGAGTTTTACATGATTAATAATACATCAGTATAAATTATTGTTGTTCTTAAAAGTGGTACAAGTACAGTGTATTTTGTCTTTGTGATGTATCATTGTTCAGAAATTCAAGAAATGTAAAATGGTCATTATGTGAAAAAAAGCAAAGTTAAAGAACAGACAGATCTATGTACAGTTGATGATCTTAGACTATAATTTAGTTCAGTCTTACCCACTGGAGTAGAATCTTATAAAATCCTATGTCAGCTATTTGGGACTTAATGTGGTGAAAAAAACAATTGAAAACTGTAATCATCCAAACCTCTGTTCCAGCAATAAGACTTTCCCTTTTTCTCCTCCATTTACAACTCCAAATCTGCTTTAAGAAATAAGGAATCCATTTCAGTGTTGGGTGGCAGTCTAGTACGATAGATCTAGTTGGATGCCATCAGTTACAAATGCTTTCAATGAAATGTATGGAAAATGGAGAGATGCTATCATTGTGTGAACTTGCAACATTAGACTGGCTAACAACTTGACACCAGTGCCAACTTATAAATGTGCATGTTAATAGTCACATATGCATGTTAATAGTTTACATGTTACATTGCTTTTCTCCACAAGTGAGCTGTTTTCTCAATCTTGGTCAGAAAGAAAAGAATATTTCTGGGAATGTCCCACTTCTAGAACGCTCTCTGAAGAAAATGTCCTTTGGTTTTTACTCATTTTTCCCATCAATCACTGCAATTCTCAAGGACATATCTTCACCAGGACTTTGAAGAAGTTCAGTATCAGCTCTGGATTTGTATGTCAGCTGATGTTTGAAGCTGATTCAATTTATTTCTGATTATACACCAGTTTATTTGAAACCAGAGTATAACTGTTCCCTCCGCTCCCTTTTTGAATCCATGAAGTTCCACAGAAGTTAACAATGGTTTATATTCCCATTGGTAAAAATTCTTTTTTTTTTTCATCATGCCTTCTAGCTCCTGGATTAAAGACAAAATCACTCTCTTTCACATCCTGTTCCTATTTGGAACCATATTTACACTGTTTACAAATTTTACGGTGCCCTTCTTCACTTTGTTTACTGCAACAGCAGGCAGTTATGATTATTGCTATTGGGGAAAGCATTTATTTGCACATTTGCTGGCATGTTACCCTTATCACTATTGTAGCCAACAAGAGACTTTTAAATGCAACAGAGTTCTAGCTATTGGTAAGCCACCATTCATCACCTATTTTTTTCTATTCTGAAAGAAATTCTTCAATGAATGTGAAACTATCCCAGATCAGCTGGTTCCAAAGTGATGGAAGTCTCAAAATTATAAAATCCCTTTCAAAACTTTCCATATCCTTGTTATTTTAAAATGTATAATTTCATAATTCATGACAAGATCATTAGATTCTCATTCATGAATAAACATTAACAGCATCAGTACATATTTGAAATAAACCTGTATGTCTTATAATGAAGCTATTGAGACTAAAGCCTATTCTGAATTTAAGAATTATATTTTATATTATGGCATAATTCTTTTTGTTTACTGTAATAGAACAATTGATTTTATCAGACCTTTTTTATTTCTATCATAGATTTAGTATAGATCAACAATTGTTTCTTAATTTGGACTTATCTTTCATGTTTTAAATTGAAGTTTGAGTTTAAGATGTTTTACACAATTCTGCACCTTTTGTTTCATAGACTTTCAGTCAGTGGCAGGACTCAAAAATTTTTACTACCAGTTCCATGGGCATGGCTTGGTGGGCGTGACATGGCTTGGTGGGCGTGGCTTGGTGGAGGTGGCAGGGGAAGGATACTGTAAAATCTCCATTCCCAACCCACTCCAGGGGAAGGATAATGTAAAATCTCCATTCCTTCCCTACTCTTGGGAAAAGGTTACTGCAAAATCCCATTTCCTCTCCATCCCACTAACCTGCTTTCCAGCTCCCTTTTCCTGTGCAGGGAAACAAAAGAAGACCTAGCTGATCAGCTGGGACTCAGGAGGCAGAGAATAGATGGAGGCAGGGTGGGGCCAGTCAGAGGTAGTATTTGCCAGTTCCCTGAACTACTCAAAATTTCCACTACCAGTTCTCCAGAACTGGTCAGAACCTGCTGAATACCACCTCTGCTTTCAGTGCAAAAAGTATATATTAACTAGATCATTAACGTAGAAATTTGTATTGCAAAATACTTTCTTTTTCTACAATATTTCATTTATTTATTTTATATTTATTTATTAAATTTCTATGCTGCCATCTCCCTACCAGGTGACTCTGGATGGCTATAGATTAGAATAGACATTAGCCAAGGCAGAGTGGCTGTGCCTTAACATGGTTATAACTGGATATTAGTCTTGAACTGTTTTAGCAATCAATGTTTATTATAATTATACGAAAATAAATGCAATGCCTGCTTAAATAATATTTTTGGTCAAAATGCATCCTAAATAAATGTGAACCTTGATTACCGCTGTAAGAACATATAGTTGTGTTTAGACGCTGATGAAAAATGTCAAGGATGTATATTTAGGAATATAAATATTCCTATTAGTCAATTATGTCAAGCCATAATTACCAAGTTTGTGATGATATTAACAATTTGACAAATTTCTAACAATGGGAAACCACTGCAAAAACTAGGTATTCTTGTGCTCCTTTATCCCCTCCACTTAAGGCCCTTTATCTCTTCTTTTAGCCCTTTTTAATGAGTTGTGGGCATGCAGTTACTTAGTATTCCCTGTGCTGTCATATTACATACATTCATATTGGTATGTCCATTCAATATTGTTCATTTCCCAATTGTCAGTGAATTATACAGATAAATAAGAGAATAAGGGTGCACTGTTTTAATCTAACTTGATCTGTCTCACATTCTAGTACGGAAATAGTGAAATTAATGATTCTTGGTGTTTTTTTTTTTTGCAGAGTTTCTATCTATGTCAATGAATTTATGTTAGAATTGTCTCGCAGACCAATAATTCTGCTTCCCTTTGTCTTCTTTGCAGTCCTGGTACCTGGGATAAAACTCACAGCTTCCCACCATCCAGCAGACAGACCACCTGACCCCCATCCCAACTCTGTAACATGGAAGCAGCCACAAAACAGTGTTGTTACTTCACGTCCATGGAAGGGGAGCAGACAGAGATTGACAGCAAACAACTGCTCTTACTCGGAGACGGCAAACGTTATGATTGAGCATCCAAGGCCGTAATATTGTGGTGGGGGGAGGGAGTTGGAGGCTTGGGGTTTTGGTTTGGTTTGAGTTTTTTTAAAAAGAACACCTTAGTGACCGACGTAATTTCTCATATGGTGCTGGAAATGTTTGAGCTTCATATTTTTGAAGTGTTTCAAGTGGTAGTATAAGAATTAGGGACATTGGGTAGCAGAGCGAGCCTGCTGGCTACTTACTGACTTGCTATTGTAACCCTTTCCATATAGCACCTAACTGTTTTACAGTATTTTTTACTGATTAATTTCCCATCCGAGTGTGAGACTTACTGAGAGATCCGAAGAGCTACACATAAAATAACTTTATAGTATAGCTATATATATAGCATATAGCTGAGTTCTTCAGTATGGAGCTTACAAGACAGTCGTGGGCATGATTTTTTCTGTAACATATCAGGATATTTCTTTTTTAAATTTTGCAATCAGCAATTCAATATATGACACGAATCATAAGATGGTTATTGACAGGTTGGTTTTCCACACAAGTGGCAAAGAAATATAAACCATCAACCTACTACAGGTCAAACAAAAAAGAAAAAAAAATTAAATGCTGCACTTAACATGAAACATTTTTGACAATTTTCAACAATGACATAAAATTCATATGGAAATGGGGAAGTTGGTCTGTTTTGATAGAAACTGACAGGAATCAATCAAAACAATCGAATTTTGAATTGAGAAAAGTGCAATTTCATTGGATAGCTAAATATCTTTGTAAGATAGAGATTGTTGAAAATTCTATTTTTGTTTTCCAAGTCCTTCCACCCCAGGACTCTAAATTATTGGGGTAAAAAACAGCCTTGCAAGAAAAAAAAAGGGGGGGGAGCTATTTTTGCTTTTTATGTTTTTTATTGTTAAACTTGTATCCCTTTAAAACTGAAGGAAATTTAAAACGTTCACACACAAAATTTAATGGTGCTTTTACCACAATATGTTATCTTCATTAAATGCTAATTATTTTCTGTTATCAAAGCACATAATTAAAATTAAATCATAATATCTATTCATTATATAAGCTAAAGTCAATTATAATAGAGTATGACAATTCTGACAAATCATACATGTTTCCGGCAATATAGGGTATATCACTTCTTAAAATATCGCGGCCACAATTTAATGCAGAGGAAAACATGCTTAAAAGGTAGCTTTAAGCATTTTGTAGCCTGCATTGGATTGCAGTCCTTAATATAATAAGAGAGACAGCTGTCCAGAAACTAAAATGCCTCTTGTGTCCCTGAACTGGCTGTTTCTTTTCTTTTCTTTTCTTTTCTTTCTGGACTGCAAAGGCATCAGTAGAAAAGCAAAATATGGATTTATATTTTATGCCAGTTCAAAGTGAGGGCACTTGCTTAAAAAAAAAAGTTTGGACCCCAAATGTCCTGTATCTTATGTAAAAAAAAAAATGAAAAAAAAAAACAGCAAAAAAACAGCAAAAAAAATGCAAGTGATTTTTTTTTTCTCTCAGACAGCGGAGCACCCCTTTGCTTTCCATGCAACTTTAAGAAGGTTTCCTATATTATACATATATATACGTTCTGGTTGGCAAATCTAGCTAATCAGAGAAAGTCTCTGCATGTTCTAGTGTTAGTAACTAATTTTTATATAGTTAATGTAGGGTAAAGTAGAGTGCATTAAGACACAATATTGTAATCCCTAATCCAGGCACTTGCCTTTAAACTATGTTTGTTCGGCCCTTCAGAAGGGTTTCTACTACTGTCCTATACAATCAAGTAAACTGAATTTCTTGGGAAGACACTTTGCTCCTCATCTTTTCCCTAAAACTATTTTTTTGTTTTGTTTTGTTTTCTTGATTTGCACGAAACAAAATAATAATAATAATAATAATTCCATATCAATGTGCCTTGCCCTGGATAGCGATTATTTGTGGAATTGTTGCACATGTTCCTCTATTGAAAGGGTTATTTTTTTTCCCCTAGTCAAGCATTTGGAGACACTTTTTTGTAAATGTGACTTTTATGTCCACCATTGTCAGTTTCAGCATCTTAGAATACAGTAGAATGTTAGTTGTTTCACAGATAAGGGTAGTGTTTTCTTGTCCTGTACGGTCAGTGGCAGTGCTATTCTGATATCTGTAGATGCTAGAGTATATCAGTATTTTTGATGTGGCTGCATTTTACATTTTCCTTGGAGTCTTCCTTTTGTTCGTTTTTATTTTTATTATTTTTTTTCCCAGATATATGAAAATATGCAATACCTGCTTATATCGTGTAGAAGAAAAGCTTAGCAATTCTTAATTTTTCTTTCGTTTTTTTTTTTTAATTTGACCAAAGTCGGTGCTGCACTTGAAGCAGCGTGTTTTAGGTGTTTGTCTTTGTACTTTTTTGTGTGTGATTTTTGAATGCACACGCAGGAAGGGCTCTTCTTAGAGAAGCAGTCAAACTGTGAAGCACTAAGCTGGACCCTGCTTCAAGCAGTTTTCGTTTTTCAATTCTTCCTTTCACAAGCAAGCCTTAAAAAAAAAAAACCTACTGTTTTCTTCAAATCCCACACTCATTTTTATTAGCAGATTGCAATCAAATCACATTCAATAAAAAGTATGAAATGCCCATTTTTATATGCACGTTTTTAAACTTCCAAGTTCTGAAAAATTGTTTACTGGTTATTCTCTATTTAAGGAAAAAAATGTTTTGGATTTTCATATATGTCAAATAAGTGGTTGAGTAGTCATTTGCTCTGTTGTATTGTGTGATTGTTAGTATTATTATGGTATCACATCCACTAGCCAGCATCTTTTGCCTTCCCTATAGCACTTAGCAGGGCATTACCTTATTAAGACATATGTGCACTAAAAATAAAAAAAAATTAGCAGCTTTCAGTGCTTCACAGTGAAGGGGGAAAAAAAGCCTAGACAAACATTTTGTCAGAACCTTGCTCTAAGCCAAGGTATTACCAGTAAATTGGTTGTATATACAACAAAATTGCACCCTTTTTTAAAAAGAAAAAAAAGAAACAAAGCAAACTAAGCAATAGTTTGGGCAGTTAGTTGTTTTTAGTAAGCATGTGATAGTCATGGCCAGAAACAGAGAGAATCAAAGCTGCCCACTCAGAAGCTATGTAATATGTATGTTGTATAGTTTTATTGATTACACTGATTTATTCTACCCTATTTTATAATGCAGGACTTTTGTAATGTTGTTTAAATAAGGAAAATTTCTGTCAAATTAGCTTAGTGAAATTCTGATTGTTCGTTATAAAGGCAGCATTCATAGAATTGCTTTTTTTTTTTCCCTTTGGGAACTGGATTTAAGTTAAAAACTTTCCTGTTTCCTTTTTTGTATGTATTTAAATACAGTTTTTTCCTTCTCTCAATAGTATAGCATATTCCTATGCTTGAGAAGTATAGGCTACTGAAAAACCATTGTAAATGGACATTACAGATATGCTGTATTTTTGAAGGTGTTTTATCATGTTAAGTTTGAAGGTGGTAAAGTTAGGGAATTCTGATTGGAATCACACGAAACAAATTGTTTTTAAAGGCTTTTAACATTAGGTATGCGATCAAGGGTGTTTACCAACAGAAGCTGTAACGTATTAAACACACTAAATTAACATTTGTTTCATCTTATTGTCATGCAATAATAGCAGTTTGAATCTGTTCAGGTGTGGAGAACAGAGTTTTATTCCTCAAAGCAGAGTGGAGAATGTAGATCTGAAGGGAGACAACTGCATGGGGTGTGCAGCCCTTAATAGAAAAGTAATCCTGGATCACACACTGCAGAATCAGATTAACATACCCATTGCCCAATTCAAAACTGCTTTTTATTCTTTGCACAAACAGCTTTTCTGCCCAAGTCATTCTTTCAAAATGACCAGATGTCCAACACCAACCCCTTTTACTTCCTTATCCCAAATAGAAACAGCAGTTCTTTCATTGAATTGACTTGACTATCAGAAGTTTTATTCTCTTGATCCCTTTCCAAACTAGGGCTTAGCTTATTGTCATCCTGCACACCCCAGAGATATTGCATTATTTATTCATTGTGATATATATATATAGATGCAATCTTTCCCAACCTGATGTTCTCCAAGAGTGCAGGACTATGGTTCCTGTTATCCCAGGATAGCATAGTCAGTGACCATGTTTGGTCATGAAGATAAGATGTAGAGACAAATGTGGCTGGAAAATCTTGATTTGAGAAGAGCACTAGCCATGGGCGTACCTTTTCTGTAAGAGGGTCCCCAGCCTCCTCTTTCAAGTTGACAAGTAAAGAATAGAACTGTTTTTTTCATCTCCACAGAATTCAGTCAGCCCAGAGGAATATGCAAAAATCTCTCTACCTACTTTTTTTCAATGTCTTCTCTTTGTTCCATATAGTTTGCAGTTTTGTAGTAACAGTATTAAATTTACTGTGCACATACACACGAGAGAAAAGGTGAAAAACAAACACCATCCAAATACATGGCATAAGACTGATCCTTTTTTCCCTTGTGATTTTTTTTAAAAAACAAAACAAATGTCAATATTATTCTTTGCATTGTGTCTCTGGAAATATCTTTTTATGGTTTTACTTTGGTAGAAGGCCTCCATAGAACAAACATTGCAAACCACAATGGGGATGAAAATGTAAGGAGAGCTTCAATGGCACTAAAAGAAACTCATCTTTCATACAACCTATTGGGGAGAATCTCATGAAATAAACTCTGCCTACCAGGCAAGGTTTCCATTAAATTCAAGCTTACAAAGCCAATTTTGTCTTGAAGTCAATGCATGTATTACTGTTGGACAGTAAAACCCGGCTATGCCATCATCAAGTCCAAGGCTGTGCAATAGTCTAATTAGTATTGAGTACCATTTCCCTTTTATTTTTTCCAATTAAAAAAAACCAGTGGGATGAAAATTGCTTTGCTATATAGCAGGTAACATTGAAGCTATTCCATAGCACTTAACTGTAGTGAATACTGTGTCACCAATTCTGAAATCAATTTAAAGTTTAATGCAAATCCATTACATGGTGCTATTACAGACTGGCAAAATGATTTACAAAAATGTGACAACTTGGGCTCAATTCACTCTGCTTTCCAACAATGTAAATGCATAGCAGTGTTTATCTGCATGAGAACTATGCACTAATATAAATCTGAAAAAAAAAAAGAAATATATCAACCTTGGTATCTACTTTCCGTTTACTTCAATCCTTGCCTTTTTGGTCATTATTATAAATGCCAGCTTTAGGACAGAAAGAAATATAAGAAAACCAGCATAATACCTGATATATTAAAAATGTAGTGCCTGTGAAATCTGTATTATATTGCTCTTCTGAAGTAAGATTTTTCTACACCAGTAGCCTTCGCTGTCTGTCAGAACCTTCTGATATAGGTGATGTAAAATAACCAAACAATATTAATGCATGCTATTCCATAATGCTTAGTGAGCTGTATGAATATTACTCAAAGTTATGTTAGTCTTTTTTTTCCCCTCTGATTTGGTTCTTGTCAGATAAGTTAAAAATATTTCACTGAGAACACAATTCTGTTTTTTCTTGATTTTGGGTGTTTTCAGTATTTTGGAAATACACATTTAACTTAAAATTCAATTCAGTATTATTTGTGGGGGGCATTCTTCACTCTTGAGGGCAGGTATGGGGTTTGAAATCCATGCCTGGTGGTATCTTTTCTTTGCTTAAGCAGCCTAAGAACTCTAAACGCTTATCTCAGAAGAAAAAAATCAGACATAAGACTTCAGTGGAAGCGACAATTCTCAAACTTGGAACTGACATTGAAAATGTTTTCCTAATGGACAGTGTTTAAACCAGGTACCCTGCTTGACCCTGTTTCACACCAGACCTCCTCATTTAACAGAAATGTGTAAGAACTGTAAAACCAAACCTCATATGGCTATTTAGTTTCTGTACACTGCTGGTTTTTTTCCCTCTCTCTCTTTTTCTTTTTGTCAAAATTCTGTATAAACTTTGGACCTGATTCATGAGTGGTCTCCAGGAATTAACATAGGATTTTGGTTTTCAGGTTGGGAGGTGTTTTTTTCTCCCACTCCAAATGGTATAGCTTTCTTTTTCTTTCCAAGATGTTTATTCAGCATACTGCTATTATTTGAAGGCTGTCAGGGCATTGCAGAAAGGCAGAGCAAATCTTGATTCTCCTATGTTGAAAATATTAAAGGTGTAGGACATGGGCAAGGGAAAATATGAGATTATAAGGATTTAAGGAGAGCATTTTTACAGCACTCTAGACTGGATAGGAGAACTGTTCCACAGAGCAAAGTAGCATTCCATTGGGTAAAGAAAAAGGGCAAGATTTTGTAGAGAGTTTGTTATTTTTCCCATAACATCGTCTAATGCAATGTCAGAGGTGTTTCATTTGATCCATGCTAGGCAACCTCTCTCTTTGCACCCATCCTAAATTTCCTGATTTTATTTATTTTTTTAAAAAATATATTTTTTAAACCTAGGGTAAAAAAAGAATCAGCATTAATGGGAAGCAGGCATGCTGCAAAGCCAAGCCCTTTGCTCTTGGCATGACATTAATTGACAAGGAAGCTCCTTTGGCCCAGACAGAACCCATAACACGTTGAGGAAATAAGGACAGATCTACCCAGTTTTTCTAGGATTCAATAGTGTAGCTTGAAAAAGGATGACAGGTCCAAACTCAGTTGTTGGCCTCTTGTTGGTTCATGAGAGTTTAATAACTGGCTTTGCTAGTGTTGCAGATCTTTTGTGAATGCACAAGACCATTTAATGAGATATCCTGCCAGAGCAATCAGGGTATATTTTGAAGACACCAAAAGTATCCTCTGACACCTCCCCCCCCCCAAAGTTAGCTACCCCTCAAACTAAATTGTTGGTGTCCTCAATCTTGATTCACTCATGCTTTGGATGAATCTTTTTTTTTCTTTCCAAAAGAAAGGAAGAAATCAGGAAGAGTCCAGATCTAAGGAATGGGATTAGCATAGATAAGAGAGCTGGCAATAGGGTGGGAATGGCCATTCAAGTTTGAGGAAAGAGTCTATGTCAAGGCCTGTGGGCCAGATCCAGTCCACGGGGTGCTTAGATCTGGCCCACAGGGCACCCTTGAAACAGCGAAAGACCAGCCTGTGGTGCCTCTGTCAGCGAAAACAGAGTCCGAACTCCATTTTTGCTGGCAGAGGACTGCAGGACATTGAGCTGGCCATACCCATCCTGGCCATGCCCATCCTGACCACACCCACTCAGCACCCACAACCGTGATGCAGCCCTCAATGAAATCAAGTTTGACACCCCTGGTCTATGTGATCTTGGAGAGAACAAATGTGGAACAGAGTAACGAATCTAAGAAGGCAAATCCTTCACATTCTGTTGGAAAAAGGCATCCAAAAGGTTTAAGCAGGTTTTTTTTCCCCAGGCTTACAAAATATGGTAGTGGGAATATTCAGCAAATAAGAATATCTATGATATAATACCTGCCCTTGGCTTTTTTGCACAGTTAGCCATTCACAAGTCCACTTACTCAGGTCTAACAATCAAACATTCGATTTGATTTTTCTTATCTTACGTAACAATGCATTCTCGCGTGAAAATTTGCTGCAAATTCACTTAATCCTTGTTTTAATATCCCTGTGTTTCCACTTTTTTATGAATCGGGTCCCTTGTGCCTCTAGTATCTTTGTATTGATCCTCATAGTTACCATTTTAGGTTTACTGTGTTCTGTGAAAATTTGAAATTGGTTGAGAATCACTGTGGGCATCCATTCTTTTCAACTAAATCTGCAGAATTTTTTTGAGCTGGTGTGGTTTAGTTTAACTCTTGTATTCAACCATTAGTACTACCACCCTCTCACATTACAATACAATTACTGGAAGCAAGTACTGCATTTCCTATGCAACAAAAAAGGAAAATAAAAAATTGCTAAT